CTTTTACTTGAGTACATTTTTGTCTGTGTATTTGTACTTTTACTTAAGTACATTTTTTGAGTACTTTCTCCACCACTGTGTAAATGTACAGTCCTGTGAACTTTTGCACCCTTTGTTACGTTACGCCTGCAAACTTCAGACTTACATGATAGACAACCTGAAGGTAGTGCATGGTTACAAAGTAGACCTGCAATGAATTATTATTTAAGTAATTCAATTATTCTGACAATTAATCAGATGAAAAAGAAATAATTTAACCACTTCAACCTTTTTATGAAGTGTTAGAATAAATCAAAGTTCTAATCAATTCCTTTATTAAATAAGAAAGTATACACTTTATTGCTTAAAATGCAATAAGTATAATAATAAAATAAAATAATAAAATGCATCTGCAGCTAAAAATGCATCAAACATCAACATGTGAAAAGCTCAGTCCTTTCTGCTTGACTAAACATCAATGCGGTGTAGGACTAATCTCTTAATTATTTTTTGGATTAACTGATTAATAACACAGAAGGTGTTTAATAGGAGATTTTATTTGATTTTTTTTTAAAGAATTTGAATCAGGTAAAGCTAAAGGAGTTCTGGATAGAACATTTTTACAGACAAAGTTTTTTTTTTAATCTTAACTCCAAAATGTGTAATATTTGTATAGTTTCGGCTTAATTACTGCTCTGAGTATGTTATTTTTTTTCAGCAAATTACCCTTTTTTTAGTCTACATACTCCAGTTAATGATTCAATAATTGATTCATGACAATCCGATTAATTGTTTCAGCCCTAAAGTGAAAGAAAAACGGAAATATGTCTTTATTTCCTTTTTTAAACAATCAAAAAAGTGAATCATGCATTTGTATATCCATCCCTCTTTCTAATTGTACCTTTGAGGTACAAAATCAAGAGCAATCAGACAGTCACTCACTTAATAGCATCCACCTGTGTGCAGTTTAATCTCAGTATCAATCCAGCTGTTTTGTGAAAGTCTCAGATGTTTGTTAGACAATATTAGCGAACAAAGTTGTGAAGAAGAAGAAGAAGAAGAAGAAGAAGAAGAAGAAGAAGAGCTTTTCTTGTAGAAAGCTTTGTTGTTCTAATGTTATTTTCTATCTGCTGAGCTCACTCAGCCTTTTGGAGATAGTGACTTTACTGTCAACACAAATTAATAATGAAAGTGCCGTTCCAACATACAGTTTGTATTACATTACCTAATGTAAATATTAATTTAATATGTTTTCTTGAAAAAATAGTCTAGAAAAGCACGTTACTCTTTTCAGATTTTTATTTGTAAAATAATAAAATGCATTTTTGGATAGTAATTTGACAAGTTGTCAAAAAATAAATAAATCAAGGAAGTGGATATTTTTTGCATGAAGCCATTTTTCTCCGTTCACCACTTTTTGATGCCCTTCCTTTGTCTGTCCCTGCAGATGGTATAAGTGCCTTGAGTGCACGTCTGTTGAAGAGGGTCTGGATTCTCTCATGTAGATTCACAATGACAAGAACCACTTCTTCCTTTTTTTCAGGCATGCTTTGGACATTCGTGAACACTATGAGAGGAAACTAGAGAGGGCCAATAACCTTTACATGGAGCTCAGTGCTGTGATGCTGCAGCTGGAGCTTAAAGAGAAAGAATTGCAGAGGTACAAATACATTTATTGAAGCATGTTTAAATACCAGTGATGTTAAAAAATAATATGCCTCGGGTATTTTGGTTTGAATTGATCATTTCCTTTCAGGAGAGAGCAGTCTTTGGATAAAAAGTATCCGGGTTTGTTCAAGCACCACAGCTCGCGACAGAGCAGCTCTTCCAACTCCATGGACAAGCTCATCAAAAAAAGAAATGTCCCACAGAAACTGCCCTCCGGAAAGAGGTGCGACGTTTCTCTGCTTCTGCCTGCATTTGACAACAGAGTAGTTCTGAAATAGGGCTGGACAATAAGTCAATAACAATATATATCACAATGGACACATGATCATTATCAATAGATGATACGACTGATGAAAGTTTCAGTAATTCATATTCAGATCCAGAACTGCACTGCATTCTGGGGGATGTAGGCAGAACCAGGAATGATGTGATGATTCGAAGGAGTTTCTTCGAGCTATTTTTTTTTTTAACTTTTGTTAGAAAAGTTCTGGTGTTAATCTCAAAATTTTCCAGTTTTATTCTAGCAAATTTTTGACTTTTCAAACTCAGTTTTTTTTTTAAGAAAATCTATGAGATTCATCTAAAAAATTCTGAGTTTTTTCTAGCCAATATTTGACTTTTCAAGCCCTAAAATTTCCTTGTTTTTTGCCAGAAATGTTCTCCTTTTTTCCTATCTAAAATAGCCCTAAAACGCCAGCTTATAAATCAGGTAAGGTTACGTCACTAGATTGTCAATATTTCACTTATTTAAATACAAAACTAATCAATAATAATTGATACTGACTGATACGAAATGCTGATATAATGATACTTTTCAGCCATATCATCCAGCCCTATTTTGAAAAGAATAAATATTCATGTGGCTGACAGAGGGAAACTGCTGACGATTCTCTTTCCCCTTTTTAGACCAGACATCCTGAAGTCTGAGGTAATCCTTCCCAAAATGGATTCCTCTGTGATGCAAGTCACGATCCCCGCCTGCCCCAACAGGAGCTCCACTTCTCCCAGCCGGTGTCGGAGAGTAAAAACCCGCCATCGCAAGTCCGGTAAGGGCAGCAGCGGGGATCTAGCTGGTCTCAAAGCAAACCAGTCCTCCTCCAACAGGGAGACGTCAGCGCAGGCTAACAACACCGCCACCACCAACAACCCCAAGCAGCTCCTGGAGCCGGCGGCGGCCCTGCGAGGTCTCAGCCACGAGCAGCAGCAGAGGCAGCTGTCCTCCTCCAGCCCAGACCTCATCTGCACCACGCTGGAGGCGGAGGGCCAGAGGAAAAGGGAGCCCACGGCCAGCGGACTGGAGAGAGGGGGCAGCCTCAGCGCCTCAGCTGGGTTAGGGGGGTCAGAGGGCGGGGTTGGGGGGCTGGATGACCTCACAGAAACGCCTCCACGCAGCGACACTCCCAGCGAGGACGCCGCGTCGTTCCCGTTCTCCAGCAGCCCAGATTCGCCATGTGGGAGAGGGGCAGCTGGAAGAGGATCGCTGGGATCTCCTCGTCTTCCTCATGACGGCGACGACAAGGATGAAGGAGCCAGCGCCGTGAGGATACCTCGGGGGGCTTCCGGGGGGATCGGGACTCAGCACCTGACACCTTCAGCCATTTTGTACAGGGCAGCTATCACACGCAAGCAGGTAGAGGTCTGACTAAATGTTCAGGTTCCTCAGCAGGCCTATTATGGGACGCTGTTTGTAAAGTAAAAATAAACAGCAATCATTTCTAGGCCAGTCTCAATACACAATAAATAAATTAATCCCTTGATAGATTAAGATAAGATTTGCATGATTTATCATTTTTCTCTTTCTACCAAAAGTTGGATGAAAAAAGACTTCAAAAGACTATTTTGACGTCATAATTCATTTTATTTGTTATTTCTGTTGTTTTGTGTATTTATTTGGATATTTAAAATCTCTTCCAGTTCCAAAGCATTGACCTTTGAGAATGTGTTCTTGCATTATTACTACATCATCACCATTATGTCATTTGAAAATGGTCTCAAA